TATATCTATAACATATACGTTTCATTTCAGTTAATGGAATCCTGCGGTCATATCACTACATAAGGTTAGAGCTTCTTTCCACCTCAGTAGTTCTCTCAGGGGACCCGGCTGCTCAGGAAGATTGACAAGCCCATCTCAAGCCCTTTGATTTTGCATGGAGTAAAGCAGGTTGACTTGATTGTTATTCTGTCTGCAGAAATGTGTCAATCCAAAAAAAAAAAAACAAAATCTGCATTACTGTTTGAATTCTCACTCCTGATGTCTATTCTATTCACCTTCTTCTATTTTGTTCCCTTAAATTGTATTTCTGACTGCTTAGAATTTGGCCCTATTGAGTTCAGCTATGCATTCTGCTTTGGAACATCTAACTTATCATATTAATTGCATTTTCCACCCAGTGCTTTATAGGTTATCACTTGTATAAAGCAGAAAGCCTTCTTTTCTAAAGAAGATTTTCTAAAGCTGCACACATTTAAATCCTCTTATTTTTTTTCTCCCTCATGTGAAATAAAAAGCTCATTGAGGAATATAACAATTAATAGTGCTAGTAACGACTCTGACATTTGGGATTTTCATTGCAAATGCTGGCTTGAAAGTTTAGTATAAGGGTGGTCAGGACATGCTGAAGCTTTGTCAAGATGACCCATGTCACTAACAATCAAACGATTAATTGTCTTTTTGTAATAAAGAAATGCTACACATTAGCTATTTGATACAGTGTGTACAGGATGTACAACACAATGTGTCCTCACCACCTGTCAAATGCCCTCTGAGAAGAAATCTGCCACGCAGGGCCAGTGCTAGACGATTTTGCACCCTAGGCAAGACCAGCTACTTGCACCTCCCCCTCCAAAAAAAACTGAACTTCAGATAAAACTTTATAACAAAACTCCACACAGAGCCTGGGGCGGACTGACAACTCATGGGGCCCCCGGGTAATAGGGGATCATGGGACCCCTGTGTCCTTGCCCAAACTCAAAAAAGCCTTTGAAAAAGGTACCAGGTGCATCTCATGGTGCCCCCTACTGACCCCGGGCCCTCGGGCAGTGCCCAAGTTTCCAAATGGTCAGTCCGCCCCTGCACAGAGCTAATCTTTGCCAATGTTAGCTTCATACGGACTGGGGAACTGGGAGGAAACACATCTTGTGCAGCACCTCATTGGCTGGATACCTCTTCCTCTCAGACTGGTTGAATTTTGCAGGAGACAGCTTCATCTCCAGCTAATATCATCCAATCCTATCTAGAGACAGTGACACCAGGACCCAGAATGACGTTTTGCATGTTGTTTCCGGATCATTAACTGGAAGGGGAAATCAGTGAACAGGTGTTCGCTGATCTCCCTCCCTCCCTTCCACCGGTGGCACCATTCATGCAGGTCCCAGGTCTGCTTTTGGGAGTGTGGAGCCTGGGAAGCATGGCAGGGCACATGGGGGGGTGTGGAAGCGATCTGTAGGCTGCACAGCTATTGGATCATTTCCACTTGACAGTCAGCCTCACACTCAATGAGATGCTTCCTGGTAGTTCTTATTTATTCTTGTGTTTGAGGGATGTTAAAAATGAGTCCCTCAAACACACATGTAAATAAGAACTAACAGGAAGCATCTCACTGCTTATGTGATCATCATTATTATAATGATGATGATCACACAGTACAGAAGGTGCTGTATGTCTGTCTGTATGCAGTGTATGGCTATATCTCTGTATGTGCTTCAGAAAACAGAAATTGTGAGTTTGACTGTGCACCGGGTTCCCATAGTTGCCCGTGCGCTTGGCCTGTGGCTGTGCCTTCCACTACCGAGCTACAGCCTTGCCTTTGTCTTCCGTCCTCCAGTGAAGGAAGGGATATTCATTTCACCAGTGAAAGAATCACTCCACCAGTGAAAGAATCACTCCACCAGTGAAAGAATCTCCTCACCAGTAAAATAATTACTCTGCCAGTGAAAGACTCTGAGCAGCTGCGGGCGGTAGGCACTGATCAGCATTGCAAAACACAGCTTTAGCCACCTGCGCCTAAAATTAAAAAAAAGAGTACCCCTCTGCTCCTTGCCTCCTGGGCCCCTCTGGTGAACTGATGGAGGCCAGGGAAAATATAATTAATGTAACAGCAGGGCCGGCTGTACTGCCCTTTTGGTGCCCCTGGCCGTGCCTGCACCCTCTGTGGCTTCCTAGCTTGCCTAGTGGTAGCACTTGCCCTGCCGCCACGGATTACTCTTCAGAGGGAGAAACTCATTTATACAAGCATTTCATCTCCTACACTTGTAGCGGCGCTTAGGAGGTCTCTGCTGTATTTTCCTCACTGCTCATTAAAAAAACATCAACACCTCTGGCAGATCTCTCATCCATGGTTGAATAATCTGAAATCAGTGTTAGAATCCACCAGATTGTCATTTTAAAATGTTTCGCTTACGTTTTTAAAGGTATTCTGTCACTTTTCATATTTAATGCTAAATGGCAGGTTATCTTGCAAAAAAACAAACAAAAAAAACACACCACCTGCTGATACTCTTCCTGCTCTCTCCTGTCTCTCCATTCCTCTACTGGAACACAAACCCCAAACCTTTTGTACGTTCCATGTCAGAGCTTACAAAGGGCATTTAGAAGCGATATTGTGGAGCTTAGTTTTGGAATTCTTCCAGTGCAATTCCTGATATGTTAGGGTGCCTAGGCACTCCTGTGTGTGAAAGTGAGATCTAGACACTGATGGCTCTGATTGTTAGTCTCAGGAGATTACCTGGTGTCAGTAGTATACTGCTCACTGTTCCCGTTCCTCAGAAATCCCTGACATAAGGAAGCAACCCTTCCCTCCAACCAAGATGGTGGCCTTCACACAGAGATAGTGCAGAACAAGGCATTGTAAGTTAGAGTGGAACTTCACCCTCTCAATCAACATTGACATTTTTTAGTCTTTATGCTGCTAGCCTTAGTAAATAGATAGGAATGTATATTATTGTAGCACTACCCCCTTAGGAGTTGCTGAGTTATTTTCAGGCTCCCTGACGCTCTGAACCCCTCTCTGAAAGCTCAACCTCTGCTGACACCAGAGTATTCATCTGACCAAAGTAAATTACCACCAGAAGATATACTTGTACACAGATTAGAGCGAACTGATATGATGTTTATATTAAACTTGACTGTAAGCTCAGTCAACAACATAAAGTGGTATATGTGTACGTAATGGCAATTACCACTCTTAGCAACTCTAAGCAAAGAAAACAACACATACAGAAAAATCTCAATCAGTGTTGGCAGGCCTGCTATTCAGAAGTTAACCCAAAGTTTCTAGTCCCCAGTGAGCAAGGAAAACTATCAAAGGTTGAACTAGCTCATTTAGGGCTTTCAGGATCTGATGGCAAGGTTTAAATCTGAGAGAGGAAAAAGCTCATTAATTAGGGTAGTCAATGTCCCTTTAAATGCAGTGAGGAATCTTCTGCACGCTCATTGGGGCCCAGTTGGTGCACTACCATGATCCAGACCTTTTTAAGTAAGTAGGAAGAGATGAAGGTGACAGTCCCTCAGAGGACTTCCTGGTCATCTGCTGGCATGGCTGAACAGGATGGTAAGGCTGGCGTTCAGCGACTCCTCCTTGCCTCTCTTCTCTCTTGCTCTGCGGCCTGGCCTGGTACTCCGACAGTCAGCACAACTCTCTCTCTCTCCACTTCTGCTCTCCAGATCTCTTCCCTCTCTCCATCTGTCCAGTCTCCTGGGCTTCTGTATATAAATGCACCTGCCCTCACGGAAGCTCCTCTGGGAAATGTAGTCCTCTGGTACACTGCTCCCCAGCAAAGTCCTGTGGTTCAGCAAACAAGATCCATGGGGCTGCTCTACAGAGCTTGAGTGCCACTGAATTGCAGGACACTGACATCTTGTATTATAGCAGGGTCTTACACAATATTTAATGGAAACTTTTTTTTTTTTACATTTCTTCAGTTACTTCCTGGTTTTCAGACCTATGCAAACCACAGGCTGTTTACCTCCTGTTTACATGTCTGTGCTAAGAACAGAGGAATACATGCCAGGAATGCTAAGAGGTGTTTTTCAAAGTGATTTCTCAGCAACATAAAGCATGGAGACATGGATGGAAGGAGGAGTTTTCTTATAATATTATAAATTAATTCAATTGTGTTTTTGGTTTGTGGTGCTGAGATGAAGTGTAGTTCCACTTTAAGAATGAAGAAATGATCAAATGCAGGGAGACCACAGACATCATTTATAACTAGCCATTTGTTTAATGGATGTTTTACTTGGGGCACAACTTCCACTGGCTTTTTTTGGTTAACTAAGGGTTAATAAACAGTTAAAAAGAAGCATTTGTTTGTACTAATGTGAAATTCTTTGGAATGCACTTAAGGTGCATATACAATGAAAAGGTTTTAGTTCGCACATAACCATAAAAAATCAACTGTGACAATATTGTTATAATTTATTTCTGAATGAAGCCTGCAAACACAGTTTGATGTCTTTGATAATACAGGAGGAACCATCAGCATTCCTGAAATCCAGATCAGGTCCTAACAGTTTTATTGGCCATGTCATGGAGGAAGCCCTGTGTGCTAAAGGTCTTTTTTTGTTGTTCAGGTTTGTCTCAATGCTAAAGTTCTTTATCCATTTGAGTGCCAGGTGTTGTTAAGAAAAGGCATTGGGATCTGCCAAATAAGGCTTCTTTAGCCACTTCAGCTCTGGAAGATTTTACCACCTTCATGACCAGGCTATTTTCTGCTATACCGCACTACTTTAACCGGTAATTACCTGTTCATACAATGCTGTACTCAAAATGTATATAATTTTTTCACATTTATGGTGGCATTTGATCACCACTGGGTTTTTTAATTTTTTTGAGATATAAACAAAAACTACCAAAAATGTAGAAAAAAAAATTACTTTCTGCTATAAAACATCCAATAAAATTTTTTTTAACCAGTTGCCGACCGCAGATAGCCAAATGACAGCTCCACTTTAGCCGGCCAGTTCTGGCAGGGCGTCATATGATGTCCTCCCAGAACGCGCTCTCCTGCACGCCCCCAGCAATCTCCGTGATTGCTGTGTCCATGTGATGTGGTAAAAGGCCAATCACAGCAGCCTTTTACAACATGATCAGCCGTGTCCAATGACACACTGATCACAGGGAAATGCAATTGCCGGTTCTCGGCTGCACTTTCCTCACGCTGTCAGAGCGTGAGGAAAGTACTGCCGAGAACTGGCAGTTGTCAGAGCAGGGATCGGCACCAATCATCAGGGCACTGATCATCAGTGCCCTGATGATCAGTGCCCAGCAGTGCCACCCACCAGCTCCGCCCACCTGTGCCCAGCAGTGCCGCCCACCTGTGCCCAGCAGTGTCACCCACCTGTGCCCACCAGTGCCACCCACCAGTGCCCAGCAGTGCCACACACATGTGCTCAGCAGTGCCACCTACCTGTGCCCAGCAGTGCCACCCACTTGTGCCCATCAGTGCCACCCACCTGTGCCCAGCAGGGCTACCCACCTGTGCCCACCAGTGCCACACATCAGTGCCCATCAGTGCATCCCAGAAGTGCTGCCAGTCAGTGCCACCAGTCAGTGCCCAGCAGTGCCACCAGTCAGTGACGTCTATCAGTGCTGACTATCTGTACCCATCATCAGTGCCGCCTATCAGTGCCGCCTATCCGTGCCACCTCATTAGTGCTGCCTATCAGTGCCCTTCAGTGCTGCCTATCAGTGCCCATCACTGCTGCCTCATCAATGCACATCAGTGAAGGAGAAAAATTACTTGTTTGCAAAATTTTATAATAGAAACAAAGAAACTTTTTTTTCTTTTCAAATTTTTTGCAGTTTTTTTGTTTATAGCACAAAAAGTAAAACACCCAGCGACGCCTAAATACCACCAAAAGAAAGCTCTATTTATGAGAAAAAAATGATAAAAATTTCATATGGGTACAATCTTGCATGACCGTGCAATTGTCATTCAAATTGCGACAGCACTGAAAGCTGAAAATTGGCCTGGTAAGGAAGGGGGTATAAGTGCCCGGTAGGCAAGTGGTTAAATCACATTTCTTCATAAATTTTGGACAAAATGTACTTTATTACATGTCTTTAATGAAAGAAAAATCCCAACAAATGTATATTTTCTTTGTGTGAAAAGTATAAACTATGCTACAAACTATGGTATATATACTGGAATTTTTTTCTACACTATTGATGGCAGTGATCAGTGATTTATAATTGGACTGTGGGAGTACAGCGGGAAATCTGACACTGACATCCCCAGTGACACTGATACAGTGATCAGTTATAATACTATACACTGTCACTGTATTAATGACACTAGCTAGGAAAGGGTTAACATCTAGAGTGATCAAAGCACTAAATGTGTGCCTAACTATATGTAGTGTGTGTAAAGTTTGCTTTGCAGGGGTGAGAATCTGACAGATCACTCCCTGTGTACAGAGCTCTGTGTTGTTTACCAACACAGAGCTCTGGGCTTTATATGTACAGAACCAATTAGCAGGTTCTGGCTGTGAATCATTGGCCAGGACTTGCTGACAGGCTGCCACTGTGTACAATCACAGCAGGTGCCGGGAGGTCAAAAAAAACAGAAGTAGGCAGAGACGTACCTGTAGGTTGCTTTTCCTACAGCGGCTACCCATCTGCGGTACATTGTGGGTGGGTGGTCGTAAAGTGGTTAATGGTATGGAGAGTTATCAACATCATGGCAGTATATAACATACACAACAAGGTTGTTTCCATCCCTAGCTTGTTCCTTGAATCAGTAATCCCCATGCTCTCTGTGCAACAACTGCATGGCATGATACTGATAGATGATAGTTTCCGAGAACCCACACCAAAAGCCTGGACAATGTAGTGGAAGAGTTCAGGCTGCTCAAAGATGCACACTTTATCTGTACCCATAATTTACATTTTCTGGCTACCCGCCCTGATCCTGTAGTCACTTCCTACCCTAAAGCATGGAAAGTTTTCATGTCACCCATGATGCTTCAGAAAGCCATCTCCCTTTTTACATGATGAACTATCATTTAGTAAAACGTCCACAATTTTAAAATGGGGGGCAGACCTTCGAGCTACCATCGCTCCCTCCTAATGGCAGACTGCCTTCCATTCCATATATCATGCAATCCAATGTGTCAGTCATTGGGAACTAGCACACAAGATAATAAACCAATGGTACTATACTCCATACCATTTAGCTAAATTCTCTTCCTCCACCTCTCTCTTATGCTGATGGGGGTGAGGTCAAGTAGGACGTCTGATGCACTTTTTTTGGGCATGTCCTAGCCTCATAAGCTCTTGAAAGATCTTCTAGATTATCTCCGAAGCCACAGGAATTTTAAAATCTTCTGCTCCGGACTGGCAGTACACAATTTGGCCATTGATAGTTTCCCCCATGCATATTGTACAGTAGTCACACATATCCTGCTTCTATTATGTATTACTATAACAAGACATTGGGGAAAAACACTGGTACCTAATCCCTCAGAAGTGCTTACCCACATAAATCAAAACTACTCATTTGAGTACTTATTTTATTTGAGATCTTTTAAACATGTTGCTTTTGTTAATTCTTTTTTAAATATGGGTTGACTGGTATAAAAAATAAGTTATTGTAAACGTATTGTTCACACTGTATCTTGCGATGGTATTGCATACTTGGTGTTTGTTGTTATATGTTACTTCCCCTAGCTGTGAGGGTTACTTTTGTATCTTTTTTAATCACTTTTGTACTTCCCTTCTATAATCTTTTTTGTATTTGAAAACTTTAATAAGAACTTATTGAAATAGAAAAAGGCATTGAGATCACATTTGTTTCCCACAGCACCATTTTAAAATTGTCATTGAGTTCTGCCCACGCAGCTGTGTAATTCATTTACAGAGTTCTGTCAGTTAATTAACAACATGTATTATCTGCCACCACGGCAGCCGCCTTGTGGTTTTCAATGAACTGCAAAGGCACCGGTGAGTGCTCTCGTAGTTCACTGATCATCCTGGACTTCAGTAACTGTTTGCCCATACAGGAGGTATGTGAAGACAGCTGTACTGGCAGTCTGCAAGAGTCTGACTTTGAACCCATGATCTACTCATAGGTGCAATGCTCTGCAAAATCCTAAGAAAAAAAATTCCTGCAAAAAAATTTTTTTTTTTTATTTTTAAGTGAACTTATCTTTTAATCTGTTGCAGAACTGGACAACTCAAATCGACATAAAAGCATGATTAGAGGTTACCTGCAGTGGTCCAACACTGCCACACAGAAAAAGTCATATGCTCCTTCTTACCCAGAAGCACTGGGTATTTATTTCAGCTCCAGGCACTGAACTGAGTGGCAGGGGAATGAAGGAAAAAAAAATATATGGAGTAGTGGTGGGGGATTAATTCAAACTTAAAGAGCACAGGTTTGATTTGAAGTCTATATAAATATTTTGATTCCAATTGTTATAATAGTGATTATTCGTTCTTGAGACCTCAATGCCTGGCCTGAATATGGCAGAGACAACCATGCGAGCAATCTTCATCAGATAGTCAAACTCACCAAACAGTTGGAATTCACAAATAACTTTATTGTATGCAGAATGCTGAGGCAATACAATAAGTTATGGTAAATTTGACATATAAGTGTTTAAGATGGTCAAAATGAGTATTGACTTTCCTAGCTGCAATGTGTGTCTTGAAAGGGGGAAGCATTAGAGAAGCCAACATAGAGGAAAAGAAAATTGCCTCACAAGATGGGGAAGGAAATACAGAATATAACATGCAATACAAAAAAATGGTCATAAGGTAGCAGCATAATAAAAAAACATTTAACCAGTGAACAACATAGGCTTTACATACAGAGGAGCCATCACAATAAACCCATCTGCCTGCACTGTGTGTTTTTCACCTGCATAAGATGTACTTTGATAATGTAGTTTCATTGAGTCATTTGTTGCTCACTACACGCAGCCTATAGTAGAGTAAATCTTCACCTTCCAGTGTTAAAAATTTCTGTTTCTGTTAAAAAATGAGGCATGCAGCATGGTACTGCACAATTTAATGCAGGACTTCTGTCTGTAGTTTAAGAAGTGACAACTGCTGTGAAGAAACTACATATCCCAAAATCTGTGGGTCCCTCACTCTAGTGCTCTGCAGGTGAAAGCTACACAATAATTGGATCTGAAACAGACACAAATAGGCAGCACATTCACAGAGAGATCACCATGGTGGAAGAGATGTGTTTCATCCAGCCAGGGGTAGCATTGGCAACTATCATCCTCGCTAAAGTATTAATCTTGGATTAAGTATTGAGCATTGCACTTCGGCTCTGAACCATCTGCATAACTCTTCTCTATCCCATCACAGGTAGATGTCTGCAAGCAATATCTATCTGCACTATTTCCCATGCCTTGCGTGACTGCTAATTGACCCTGCTGCACTATATGGTAAATGTCTGTGAGCAATAGCCATCTGTACTATCACCCATGCCATGTATGACTGCTAATTAACCCTGCTGTGCTATATGGTAATCTATACTGCTTTCAAAATCCACTTCTAACTGAAGCTGATTCATAACTATTAATGTTATTATTGGAAAGTTTTTCTGCTTCCAAAAGCTTTAGCTCTGTCTATATTACTGTGATGTTTATTTTGCTCTTATTGTCTAACCCAAATTTATGAACTGATCCTAATCTTTACAACTCTACCCTCCTGCTTTCTTGTCTCTTATAGTCCTCCTTTGGTATGAGAAGTTTCCCCTGCTAGCCATGTGTTTCTCCTATGCATTCCTAATTGATTAATTGGCAATACCCCCACCCAACTCAGTATAAATTTAGACCTTCCTTTGGGGAGGCACAGCCAGGGGTAGCATTGGCAACTATCATATTGGATAAAGTATTAATCACTGCACTTCGGCTCTTCACTTCAGCGAAGAATAAAGCGAGAAACCATAGCAGACAACTCTAAATACTAAACAGACTGCAGGTGACCTGTTTCCCCATCCAGCTCTTTCATCTCTTACCCAGCCTACTTTTTCATCTCACCACTCTGTAACATGCACGCCCTACTCCCACTTCTCACAGTTGTATCCTCTCTCTTCAAAATCTCTGCCCTTCACCCCTCTTTTCCACACCACAGCTTATATATCACCCTCACTCCTGTCTTCACTTTATTACTGCAGTCATCAACTTCTGCTAATTCTGAACGCACATGCTAAAAAAACCTCCAGGAAACTGGGACCTGTCCCTCCATATAAGTCATACTCCCATATTACCTCTCTCACCCTCCTGCTTCTTCTAACATTAGACATTTCCCCAAATCCCGGGTCACCATCTTTTTCCTTTGACCAACACACCTGGAACCCCCTATCTTCTAACAGCGGCTGCAATCCACACAATCTGGTTACTATTCCTCTTCTTCCTAGAACCAGCCTCCCCTTTTACTGTGCCCTCTGGAATGCCTGTTCTGTCTGTAACTACTCACCTCTGTCCATGACCTTTTTATTGCAAACTTCTTTAACCTACTTGCAAATACAGAAACCTGGCTTCATGAATCTGACTTTCCCTCTCCTGGCCGAAAGCACTTTTCAGGTCATTCATTCACCTCGCTCTCTGTCCCTCTCCTCATTTTAAGTTCACTGCATTTGTCTATTCTCTCCAATTTCTTTAAGAATTGCTGTGACCTATCAGCCTCCTGGACCGGTATCAAGATTCCTTGATGACTTCTCTGCCTGGCTGCCTTACTTTCTCTCTTCTGAAATTCCCACAATCATTCTCGGTGACTTCAACATCCCTGTTAATCTTAACACTCCTGCTACCTCTAAACTTCTGAGCCTAACCACTTCTTTTGACCTAAAACAATGGACACATGCTTCTACTCACTCTAATGGTAACTGCCTTGACCTTGTATTCTCCTACCTATGAACTCCTTGCAACCTCACCAACTTTCCTTTTCCTCTTTCTAATCATTCTCTTATTAGACTCACTCTCTCCTTGGCTTCCTCCTCCTTGTCTTCCAACTACCAAACAGTTACCTGAAGAAACCTTCTCTATCTTAGTCCCTCTCTTCATTTTTCTGCAACAGATTGTCTCTATGACAAAATCTCAGCCCTGTCCTGCCCCAACCTGGCCACTTCTGTCTACAACAATTCACTGTCATCCACCTGGACACATTGGCCCCCTCACTACACACAGAATTAGGCCCTGACTGCTACAGCCCTGGAAAACAGACAATACCAGATGCTTCAAAAACATAGCCGTGCTCTTGAGCGTTTATGGCGTAAGACTAAGATCCAGCAAGACTTCGACCAATATAAATCTGCCCTTCATACATACAATTCCTGTCTCCACACTGCCAAACAAACCTATTTTATCAATCTCATTAACACCCTCTCACACAGTCCCCGTCAACTCTTTCCCACCTTTAACTCTCTACTTTTCCCTTCATTACCTCCACCCACTAACTCACTCACTGCCCAGGAGATTGCTAATCACTTCAAAAATAAGATTGACACAATTTGTAACGAGATCTCCACTGTACAGATATCTCCCTCACCCTACACTCCTTTCCCACCTGCACAATCAATACTTCCCTTGTTTAACTCAGCTACTATAGAGATAGTAAACTTTTTCTAAAGCCCACCTAACCACCTGTCCCCTGGACCCTGTTCCCTCACAAATACTGTGGACACCCTCTGGCTCTTTCTTTCACTCTTTAACTCATATCTTCAATCTCTCTCTTTCTAATGGCATCTGCCCCAACTCTCTAAAACATGTGCTAGTCACCCCCATACTTAAAAAGGCCTCACTGGACCCCACCAATCTTAGCAACCTAAGACCCATCTCCTTACTCCCTTTTACCTCCAAACTCCTTGAATGTCTAGTCTACAACAGGCTGAGCTGCCACCTCATTGAGAATAACATTCTTGATCGCCTTCAGTCTGGATTTCTCTTACAACACTTCACAAAAACTGTTCTCCTAAAACTCACAAACGACTTGCTAACAGTTAAAACCAATGGTCACTATTCCGTACTCTTACTCTTGGACCTTTCCGCTACCTTTAACACAGTTGACCACCCCCTGCTCCTCAAAAAACTCTATTTACTTGGCCTCCGTGACTGTGACTCTCCGTTGGTTTAAATCTTTCCTATCTCACCGCACCTTCAATGTCACTTACAACTCTACTTCCTCCTTTCCTATTCTTCTTACCGTCAGAGTCCCCCAAGGTTCTGTCCTTGGACCTCTCCTATTCTCCATCTACAATTCTTTCTTGGATCAGCTGATAGCTTCCCATGGTTTCCAATACCATTTCTATGCTGATGACACACAAATCTATCTCTCTACTCCTCAGCTCACCTCATCACGTATCAGCGATTTACTAACAGACATATCAGACTGGATATCACACCGCTTCCTAAAACTCAATCTATCTAAAACTGAGCTCATAATATTTCCTCCCCCACGTGCCTCTTCCCCTGATTTCTTGGTCAGGATCAATAGCATGACTATCAACCCATCCACGCATGCCAGGGTGCTAGGTGTAACCCTGGATTCTGAACTATCCTTTCAGACCCACATTCAATCCCTGTCCAAATCATGCTGCCTCAACCTCCACAACATCTCCAGAATATGCCCCTTTTTAACTAATGATACCACAAAGCACCTAATTCACTCCCTGGTTATCTCTTGCCTCGACTACTGCAACTCTCTCCTCATTGACTTACCTTTACATAGGCTATCCCCCTCCAGTACTGCAAGAATTCTGCTATCAGGCTCATCCACCTTACCAACCATTCAGTATCTGCTACCCCTCTCTGCCAATCCCTCCACTGGCTTCCACTTGCCCAACGAATAAAATTCAAAATACTAACAACAACTTACAAGCCATCCACAACTGCCCCCAGCTACATCACCAACCTGGTCTCAAAATATCTACCAAACAGCTCTCTTTGATCCTCCCAAGACCTTCTGCTCTAGTCCCATGTCACCTCCTCCCATGCTTGCCTCCAGGACTTCTCCTGAGCTTCTCCCATCCTATGGAACTCCCTACCCCAACATGCTGGCTATTTCCTAATCTATCCACTTTTTGATGATCCCTGAAAATTCTTCTATTTAAAGAAGCCTATTCTGCTTCTAACTAGTAAACTGCTTCTTATTTCCTCTATCAGCTCATCCCCCACAACTATTATCTTTTGTATTGCTCAACCCTTCCTCTTAGATTGTAAGCTCTAGTGAGCAGGGCCCTTTGTTTCCTCTTGCACCAAATTGTATTGTAACTATAATGTCTTCCCTTTCATTTTGTAAACTGCTGCACAAACTGCTGGCGCTATATAAATCCTGTATAATATTAATAATCAAAGTAGCACTCCCACGTTTGTGATGCAATACAAAGAAATGGCTGGGCATTGATTGGAGGCTGCCTGATCAAGAAGTTGCCTGTCCCTTTAGTAAATAGGGACAAGCTAGGTGAATGAATACATTGGCAAAATGGAATCAATAAGCCATGACACTACAAACTACAGCCACAACATGTGAGCCCATCATTGCATGACAAGGCAAACAAATGACAAAGGATATAACTACACTAGTACCTACAGTAGTTAAAGCACCAAAAGCATTCTAATTGCTTTCCCTATTAGATATGGGGCTAAAAAGATGCTTCAAGTATAATGGTTCTGTACAGAGAAAGGCAATGAAGCATTTGCTACACATTGCATTATATTTAAATGGCTGGTTCTCTTTTTTTTCATTGATCTTGTCTATGCCCTTTCCCTCCCACCATCCAAAGGGCATAGAACATGGAACAGAACTGGAACCAAAAATGAAGCTTTGGATGCTTTTCTGCATTCTTTACTAGTAAATAAATCTAAATCTGAATTTTTGACATTTTATTTGACCTTTTGTGTGCTAAATACCAACCCATTGTGAAATCACTTTTGAAATATTACTCTGTCAGATATAATGGCCAGAAGAATATCAGATATTTCTTTGAATTGTTCCTTTCCCACCCCTCCTTTTTCACTTAGGCAACTAGCGCAGGCTCTACCATCACCAGCCTGATTTGAAACTTCTGCTAGAAAATGGTGGAAATTGACCAAAATTGCTTTGGTAAATTTTTCACAATTTCAACAGCCATTTTTTACAGTTTGCAATTGTATACTGCTGGACATTGCTTTAATCTTTATTGCAGAGGTAAAAAAATCCAGCTATTTTATAGAAACTAGAGATGAGCGAAGTATTCAAAAATTTGATTCGACTGATTCGGCGAATTCGTGGAAAAATTTCGATTCGAGTCGAATATATTCGCTGTGAATTTAACTTAAAAAAGGGTGTTTCTAGGCTTCAGAGAGACTTAATATTAGTGCAGAACACTGTACCTTTAATTTAAATGCCCTTGGAGTCTGCTGGGAAGAGAAATAATACTGTCAGTCAGTATGACATGCAGATGAGTGCCGTCGATCTTAGAATCACCGCACACTTCACTCATTTGGGCAGTCACGGGGCCAAAACCAGAGTGTGGAGCCACAGTGTGGCGGTGGAGGCAGCAGCAATGGGAGGCCATACAGCACCCTATGACAAAAATGGAAACCACCAGCAGTGTGAGGAGACCTGAAAGTGGCACATGGCAGAGTGTGGCGATAGAGACAGCAGCAATGGGAGGCCGTACAGGGACCCATGACACACTCTGGACCTGGCAGCAGCATGAGGAGGCAGTACAGGGGCCCATGACAGATTACGGGCCTGGCAGCAGCATGAGGAGTTGGTACGGGGGCCCATGGCAGATTACGGGCCTGGCAGCAGCAATGGGAGGCCGTACAGGGACCCATGACACACTCTGGACCTGGCAGCAGCATGAGGAGGTGGTACAGGGGCGCATGACAGATTACGAGCCTGGCAGCAGCAACTTGGACAGGAGGACGTTCAGCTTCTGCACCGTCGGGTGCGTGCTCGCAAACTGTTGTCTCTTGGAAACGGATTCCAAGAAAGACTGCTGACGGAATCCGTGAAGAGGAGTAGCAGGAGAAGGAGCATCTGAACGAGCGGAATATGCCAACAAGCGACAACAGGGGCCCATGACAGATTACGGGCCTGGCAGCAGCATGAGGAGTGGCAGATTAGGGGCCTGGCAGCAGCTATGGGAGGCCCGTAATCTGCCAGCACCCTATGACAAAAAATGGAACACACCAGCAGTGTGAGGAGACCTGAAAGTGGCACATGGCAGAGTGTGGCGATGGAGACAGCAGCAATGGGAGGCCGTACAGGGACCCATGAGAGACTCTGGACTTGGCAGCAGCATGAGGAGGCGGTATAGGGGCCCATGGCAGATTAGGGGCCTGGCAGCAGCTATGGGAGGCCCGTAATCTGCCAGCACCCTATGACAAAAAATGAACACAGACCCAGCAGTGTGAGGAGACCTGAAAGTGGCACATGTTTGGGGCATGATTCATGGCGGATTTAGTCAGTTGTGTCAGGAACTGGTGGTTTGAAATCCAGACTAATCCACGCCTGATTCATTTTCACAAACGTCAGTCTCTCCACACTTTGGGTGACACAGTCGTGTCCTCCGCGGAGTTGCAATACCTGCCTGCCGCACTAAAACACGCGCTCCGATGCCACGCTACTGGCCGGGCATGACAGCCTTTCAAGGGCAAAATTCAGCTAGTTGGGGCCAAAGGTCAAGTTTCGTTGCCCAGTAGTCAAGGGGATTGTCTACCTCGGTTGGCAGGGTGCTGTCCAAGTAGGCCTAAGCCTGTTGTTTGAGGTCCTGCTCCAGGTCCACCTGCCTGCTGCTGCTGCTGGCGGCTGGTTAGTAGTTTCCTCACTGCGCTGGTGAAGAAAGCTACTCATCATCGACTGCAGACTGAGGCAGCCGCTGCTGGTGGAGGAGCTGCCACTGCTCCTACCACCCCACCCCTCCCCCTGCTGCCATGGCAGCGGAACGCGAGCGCACAGGGCCCACAGTGTCTGAGGATGGACGTTGGCGCAGACAGGCAGAGACCAGCTGACTACATAGGTGGTTTTTATAGTACGTTATTTTGGCCTCCCTCTCAGCAGGTGTGAAAAAGGCCACCATTTTTGAACGGTAGCGAGGGTCCAACAAGGTGGACAGCCAAAAGTCATCCCTCTGTCTGATGGTTATTATTCGGCTGTCGCTACGCAAGCAAGCGAGCATGCTATGGGCCATTTGTGCCAAGGAATGCGAGGGACTCCCTGCCTCCATCTCCACAGCATACTGCCACGGTGCGTCTGGGTCCTCTGTCTCCTCTTCCTCCTCCTCTACCAGATGCTCCTGCTCCTCCACTCCTGTCCGCTGAGTGGAAAAAAACCACCCATTTCACTCAATAATTCCTGAGCACCAATGTCCTCCTCTACCTCCTCCTCTTCTTCCTGTCCTGCCCCCACAGGGGTCATGTGGCGTTGAGATCTGTGCGCCACGTCTACCGCACCCTGACCAGCCATTGTTAACAGCATTTGTTCCAGGACGTGCAACAGAGGAATGACGTCGTTCATCCCATAGTCCTGCCGACTCACGAATAGCGTGGCCTCCTCAAAGGGCCTGAGCAAGCGCAGGTGTCACGCATGAGCTGCCAATGGCTGACATCTAAGTTACACAGGGAGTACCTTTATCCGCTTTTAACATCAGGAAATCTGTGATGGCCTTTTGCTGTTCGTAAAGGCGGTCTAACATATGTAGGGTTGAATTCCACCTTGTTGCAACGTCACAGCATGAGGAGTCGGTATAGGGGCCCATGGCAGATTAGGGGCCTGGCAGCAGCTATGGGAGGCCCGTAATCTGCCAGCACCCTATGTCAAAAAAATGGAACACACCAGCAGTGTGTGAGGAGACCTGAAAGTGGCACATGGCAGAGTGTGATGGAGACAGCAGCAATGGGAGGCCGTACAGGGACCCATGAGAGACTCTGGACCTGGCAGCAGCATGAGGAGGCGGTATATAGGGGCCTATGGCAGATTAGGGGCCTGGCAGCAGCTATAGGAGGCCCGTAATCTGCCAGCACCCTATGTCAAAAAATTCAACACACCAGCAGTGTGTGAGGAGACCTGAAAGTGGCACATGGCAGAGTGTGGCGATGGAGACAGCAGCAATGGGAGGCCGTACAGGGACCCATGACAGACTCTGGACTTGGCAGCAGCATGAGGAGGCGGTATATAGGGGCCTATGGCAGATTAGGGGCCTGGCAGCAGCTATAGGAGGCCCGTAATCTGCCAGCACCCTATGTCAAAAAATTCAACACACCAGCAGTGTGTGTGAGGAGACCTGAAAGTGGCACATGGCAGAGTGTGGCGATGGAGACAGCAGCAATGGGAGGCCGTACAGGGACCCATGAGAGACTCTGGACCTGGGCAGCAGCATGAGGAGGCGGTATATAGGGGCCCATGGCAGATTAGGGGCCTGGCAGCAGCAGCTATGGGAGGCCCGTAATCTGCCAGCACCCTATGTCAAAAAATTCAACACACCAGCAGTGTGTGAGGAGACCTGAAAGTGGCACATGGCAGAGTGTGGCGATGGAGACAGCAGCAATGGGAGGCCGTACAGGGACCCATGACAGACTCTGGACTTGGCAGCAGCATGAGGAGGCGGTATATAGGGGCCCATGGCAGATTAGGGGCCTGGCAGCAGCTATGGGAGGCCCGTAATCTGCCAGCACCCTATGTCAAAAAAAAAATTCAACACACCAGCAGTGTGTGAGGAGACCTGAAAGTGGCACATGGCAGAGTGTGGCGATGGAGACAGCAGCAATGGGAGGCCGTACAGGGACCCATGAGAGACTCTGGACTTGGCAGCAGCATGAGGAGGCGGTATATAGATAGGGGCCCATGGCAGATTAGGGGCCTGGCAGCAGTATAGGGAGGCCCGTAATCTGCCAGCACCCTATGTCAAAAAATTGAACACACACCAGCAGTGTGTGAGGAGACCTGAAAGTGGCACATGGCAGAGTGTGGCGATGGAGACAGCAGCAATGGGAGGCCGTACAGGGACCCATGAGAGACTCTGGACCTGGCAGCAGCATGAGGAGGCGGTATATAGGGGCCTATGGCAGATTAGGGGCCTGGCAGCAGCTATAGGAGGCCCGTAATCTGCCAGCACCCTATGTCAAAAAAATTCAACACACCAGCAGTGTGTGAGGAGACCTGAAAGTGGCACATGGCAGAGAGTGTGGCGATGGAGACAGCAGCAATGGGAGGCCGTACAGGGACCCATGACAGACTCTGGACCTGGCAGCAGCATGAGGAGGCGGTATATAGGGGCCCATGGCAGATTAGGGGCCTGGCAGCAGCTATGGGAGCCGTAATCTGCCAGCACCCTATGTCAAAAAATTCAACACACCAGCAGTGTGTGAGGAGACCTGAAAGTGGCACATGGCAGAGTGTGGCGATGGAGACAGCAGCAATGGGAGGCCGTACAGGGACCCATGACAGACTCTGGACCTGGCAGCAGCATGAGGAGGCGGTATATAGGGGCCCTATGGCAGATTAGGGGCCTGGCAGCAGCTATGGGAGGCCCGTAATCTGCCAGCACCCTATGTCAAAAAAAATTCAACACACCAGCAGTGTGTGAGGAGACCTGAAAGTGGCACATGGCAGAGTGTGGCGATGGAGACAGCAGCAATGGGAGGCCGTACAGGGACCCATGACAGACTCTGGACCTGGCAGCAGCATGAGGAGGCGTATATAGGGGCCTATGGCAGATTAGGGGCCTGGCAGCAGCTATGGGAGGCCCGTAATCTGCCAGCACCCTATGTCAAAAAATTGAACACACCAGCAGTGTGTGAGGAGACCTGAAAGTGGCACATGGCAGAGTGTGGCGATGGAGACAGCAGCAATGGGAGGCCGTACAGGGACCCATGAGAGACTGGACTTGGCAGCAGCATGAGGAGGCGGTATAGGGGCCCATGGCAGATTAGGGGCCTGGCAGCAGCTATGGGAGGCCCGTAATCTGCCAGCACCCTATGTCAAAAAATTCAACACACCAGCAGTGTGTGACCTGAAAGTGGTGGCACATGGCAGAGTGTGGCGATGGAGCAGCAATGGGAGGCCGTACAGGGACCCATGACAGACTCTGGACCTGGCAGCAGCATGAGGAGGCGGTATATAGGGGCCTATGGCAGATTAGGGGCCTGGCAGCAGCTATGGGAGGCCCGTAATCTGCCAGCACCCCTATGTCAAAAAATTCAACACACCAGCAGTGTGTGAGGAGACCTGAAAGTGGCACATGGCAGAGTGTGGCGATGGAGACAGCAGCAATGGGAGGCCGTACAGGGACCCATGAGAGACTCTGGACCTGGCAGCAGCAGCATGAGGAGGCGGTATATAGGGGCCCATGGCAGATTAGGGGCCTGGCAGCAGCTATGGGAGGCCCGTAATCTGCCAGCACCCTATGTCAAAAAATTCAACACACCAGCAGTGTGTGAGGAGACCTGAAAGTGGCACATGGCAGAGTGTGGCGATGGAGACAGCAGCAATGGGAGGCCGTACAGGGACCCATGAGAGACTCTGGACCTGGCAGCAGCATGAGGAGGCGGTATATAGGGGCCCATGGCAGATTAGGGGCCTGGCAGCAGCTATGGGAGGCCCGTAATCTGCCAGCACCCTATGTCAAAAAATTCAACACACCAGCAGTGTGTGAGGAGACCTGAAAGTGGCACATGGCAGAGTGTGGCGATGGAGACAGCAGCAATGGGAGGCCGTACAGGGACCCATGACAGACTCTGGACCTGGCAGCAGCATGAGGAGGCGGTATATAGGGGCCCATGGCAGATTAGGGGCCTGGCAGCAGCTATGGGAGGCCCGTAATCGCCAGCACCACCCTATGTCAAAAAATTCAACACACCAGCAGTGTGTGAGGAGACCTGAAAGTGGCACATGGCAGAGTGTGGCGATGGAGACAGCAGCAATGGGAGGCCGTACAGGGACCCATGAGAGACTCTGGACCTGGCAGCAGCATGAGGAGGCGGTATATAGGGGCCATGGCAGATTAGGGGCCTGGCAGCAGCTATGGGAGGCCCGTAATCTGCCAGCACCCTATGTCAAAAAATTCAACACACCAGCAGTGTGAGGAGACCTGAAAGTGGCACATGGCAGAGTGTGGCGATGGAGACAGCAGCAATGGGAGGCCGTACAGGGACCCATGAGAGACTCTGGACCTGGCAGCAGCATGAGGAGGCGGTATATAGGGGCCCATGGCAGATTAGGGGCCTGGCAGCAGCTATGGGAGGCCCGTAATCTGCCAGCACCCTATGTCAAAAAATTCAACACACCAGCAGTGTGTGAGGAGACCTGAAAGTGGCACATGGCAGAGTGTGGCGATGGAGACAGCAGCAATGGGAGGCCGTACAGGGACCCATGACAGACTCTGGACCTGGCAGCAGCATGAGGAGGGTATATAGGGGCCTATGGCAGATTAGGGGCCTGGCAGCAGCTATGGGAGGCCCGTAATCTGCCAGCACCCTATGTCAAAAAACTGAACACACCAGCAGTGTGTGAGGAGACCTGAAAGTGGCACATGGCAGAGTGTGGCGATGGAGACAGCAGCAATGGGAGGCCGTACAGGGACCCATGAGAGACTCTGGACCTGGCAGCAGCATGAGGAGGCGGTATATAGGGGCCCATGGCAGATTAGGGGCCTGGCAGCAGCTATGGGAGGCCCGTAATCTGCCAGCACCCTATGTCAAAAAATTCAACACACCAGCAGTGTGTGAGGAGACCTGAAAGTGGCACATGGCAGAGTGTGGCGATGGAGACAGCAGCAATGGGAGGCCGTACAGGGACCCATGAGAGACTCTGGACTTGGCAGCAGCATGAGGAGGCGGTATAGGGGCCTATGGCAGATTAGGGGCCTGGCAGCAGCTATGGGAGGCCCGTAATCTGCCAGCACCCTATGTCAAAAAAATTCAAACACCACCAGTGTGTGAGGAGACCTGAAAGTGGCACATGGCAGAGTGTGGCGATGGAGACAGCAGCAATGGGAGGCCGTACAGGGACCCATGACTCTGGACTCTGGACTGGCAGCAGCATGAGGAGGCGGGTATATAGGGGCCCATGGCAGATTAGGGGCCTGGCAGCAGCTATGGGAGGCCCGTAATCTGCCAGCACCCTATGTCAAAAAATTCAACACACCAGCAGTGTGTGAGGAGACCTGAAAGTGGCACATGGCAGAGTGTGGCGATGGAGACAGCAGCAATGATGGGAGGCCCGTACAGGGACCCATGAGAGACTCTGGACCTTGGCAGCAGCATGAGGAGGCGGTATATAGGGGCCCATGGCAGATTAGGGGCCTGGCAGCAGCTAGGAGGCCCGTAATCTGCCAGCACCCTATGTCAAAAAATTCAACACACCAGCAGTGTGAGGAGACCTGAAAGTGGCACATGGCAGAGTGTGGCGATGGAGACAGCAGCAATGGGAGGCCGTACAGGGACCCATGAGAGACTCTGGACCTGGCAGCAGCATGAGGAGGCGGTATATAGGGGCCCATGGCAGATTAGGGGCCTGGCAGCATGGGAGGCCCGTAATCTGCCAGCACCCTATGTCAAAAAATTGAACACACACCAGCAGTGTGTGAGGAGACCTGAAAGTGGCACATGGCAGAGTGTGGCGATGGAGACAGCAGCAATGGGAGGCCGTACAGGGACCCATGAGAGACTCTGGACCTGGCAGCAGCATGAGGAGGCGGTATATAGGGGCCCATGGCAGATTAGGGGCCTGGCAGCAGCTATGGGAGGCCCGTAATCTGCCAGCACCCTATGTCAAAAAATTCAACACACCAGCAGTGTGAGAGGAGACCTGAAAGTGGCACATGGCAGAGTGTGGCGATGGAGACAGCAGCAATGGGAGGCCGTACAGGGACCCATGACAGACTCTGGACTTGGCAGCAGCATGAGGAGGCGGTATATAGGGGCCCATGGCAGAGATTAGGGGCCTGGCAGCAGCTATGGGAGGCCCGTAATCTGCCAGCACCCTATGTCACACAAAAAGTGTGAGGACACACCAGCAGTGTGTGAGGAGACCTGAAAGTGGCACATGGCAGAGTGTGGCGATGGAGACAGCAGCAATGGGAGGCCGTACAGGGACCCATGACAGACTCTGGACCTGGCAGCAGCATGAGGAGGCGGTATATAGGGGCCCATGGCAGATTAGGGGCCTGGCAGCAGCTATGGGAGGCCCGTAATCTGCCAGCACCCTATGTCAAAAAATTCAACACACCAGCAGTGTGTGAGGAGACCTGAAAGTGGCACATGGCAGAGTGTGGCGATGGAGACAGCAGCAATGGGAGGCCGTACAGGGACCCATGAGAGACTCTGGACCTGGCAGCAGCATGAGGAGGCGGTATAGGGGCCCATGGCAGATTAGGGGCCTGGCAGCAGCTATGGGAGGCCCGTAATCTGCCAGCACCCTATGTCAAAAAATTCAACACACCAGCAGTGTGAGGAGACCTGAAAGTGGCACACATGGCAGAGTGTGGCGATGGAGACAGCAGCAATGGGAGGCCGTACAGGGACCCATGAGAGACTCTGGACCTGGCAGCAGCATGAGGAGGCGGTATATAGGGGCCCATGGCAGATTAGGGGCCTGGCAGCAGCTATGGGAGGCCCGTAATCTGCCAGCACCCTATGTCAAAAAATTGAACACACCAGCAGTGTGTGAGGAGACCTGAAAGTGGCACATGGCAGAGTGTGGCGATGGAGACAGCAGCAATGGGAGGCCGTACAGGGACCCATGAGAGACTCTGGACTGGCAGCAGCATGAGGAGGCGGTATATAGGGGCCCATGGCAGATTAGGGGCCTGGCAGCAGCTATGGGAGGCCCGTAATCTGCCAGCACCCTATGTCAAAAAATTCAACACACCAGCAGTGTGTGAGGAGACCTGAAAGTGGCACATGGCAGAGTGTGGCGATGGAGACAGCAGCAATGGGAGGCCGTACAGGGACCCATGAGAGACTCTGGACCTGGCAGCAGCATGAGGAGGCGGTATATAGGGGCCCATGGCAGATTAGGGGCCTGGCAGCAGCTATGGGAGGCCCGTAATCTGCCAGCACCCTATGTCAAAAAATGAACACACACACCAGCAGTGTGAGGAGACCTGAAAGTGGCACATGGCAGAGTGTGGCGATGGAGACAGCAGCAATGGGAGGCCGTACAGGGACCCATGAGAGACTCTGGACCTGGCAGCAGCATGAGGAGGCGGTATATAGGGGCCCATGGCAGATTAGGGGCCTGGCAGCAGCTATCTGCCAGCACCCTATGTCAAAAAATTCAACACACCAGCAGTGTGAGGGAGGCCCGTAATCTGCCAGCACCCTATGTCAAAAAATGGAACACACCAGCAGTGTGTGAGGAGACCTGAAAGTGGCACATGGCAGTAATGCCAGGCGATGGAAACAGCAGCAATGGGAGGCCTGAAACAGGGACCCATGAGAGACTCTGGACCTACAGGGCAGCAGCATGAGGAGGCGGTATATAGGGGCCCATGGCAGATTAGGGGCCTGGCAGCAGCTATGGGAGGCCCGTAATCTGCCAGCACCCTATGTCAAAAAAAAAAAAAACACACCCAGCAGTGTGTGAGGAGACCTGAAAGTGGCACATGGCAGAGTGTGGCGATGGAGACAGCAGCAATGGGAGGCCGTACAGGGACCCATGAGAGACTCTGGACCTGGCAGCAGCATGAGGAGGCGGTATATAGGGGCCCATGGCAGATTAGGGGCCTGGCAGCAGCAGCTATGGGAGGCCCGTAATCTGCCAGCACCCTATGTCAAAAAATTGAACACACCAGCAGTGTGTGAGGAGACCTGAAAGTGGCACATGGCAGAGTGTGGCGATGGAGACAGCAGCAATGGGAGGCCGTACAGGGACCCATGAGAGACTCTGGACCTGGCAGCAGCATGAGGAGGCGGTATATAGGGGCCCATGGCAGATTAGGGGCCTGGCAGCAGCTATGGGAGGCCCGTAATCTGCCAGCACCCTATGACAAAAAATGGAACACACCAGCAGTGTGTGAGGAGACCTGAAAGTGGCACATGTTTGAGGCATGATTCATGGCGGATTTAGTCAGTTGTGTCAGGACTGGTGGTTTGAAATCCAGACTAATCCACGCCTGATTCATTTTCACAAACGTGAGTCTCTCCACACTTTGGGTGGACAGTCGTGTCCTCCGCGGAGTTACAATACCTCCTGCCGCACTAAACACGCGCTCCGATGCCACGCTACTGGCCGGGCATGACAGCCTTTCAAGGGCAAATTCAGCTAGTTGGGGCCAAAGGTCAAGTTTCGTTGCCCAGTAGTCAAGGGGATTGTCTACCTCGGTTGGCAGGGTGCTGTCCAAGTAGGCCCAAGCCTGTTGTTTGAGGTCCTGCTCCAGGTCCACCTGATGCTGCTGCTGCTGCTGCTGCGGCTGGTTAGTAGTTTTTCCTCACTGCGCTGGTGAAGAAAGCTACTCATCATCGACTGCAGACTGAGGCAGCCGCTGCTGGTGGAGCTGCCACTGCTCCTACCACCCCCCCCCTCCCCTGCTGCCATGGCAGCGGAACGCGAGCGCACAGGGCCCACAGTGTCTGAGGATGGACGTTGGCGCACAAAGGCAGAGACCAACTGACTACATAGGTGGTTTTTTATAGTACGTTATTTTGGCCTCCCTCTCAGCAGGTGTGAAAAAGGCCACCATTTTTGAACGGTAGCGAGGGTCCAACAAGGTGGACAGCCAAAAGTCATCCCTCTCTGTCTGATGGTTATTATTCGGCTGTCGCTACGCAAGCAACCGAGCATGCTATGGGCCATTTGTGCCAAGGAATGCGAGGGACTCCCTGCCTCCATCTCCACAGCATACTGCCACGGTGCGTCTGGGTCCTCTGTCTCCTCCTCCTCCTCCTCTACCAGATGCTCCTGCTCCTCCACTCCTGTCCGCTGAGTGGAAAAACCACCCATTTCACTCAATAATTCCTGAGCACAAATGTCCTCCTCTACCTCCTCTCTCTTCTTCCTGTCCTGCCCCCACAGGGGTCATGTGGCGTTGAGATCTGTGCGCCACGTCTACCGCACCCTGACCAGCCATTGTTAACAGCATTTGTTCCAGGACGTGCAACAGAGGAATGACGTCGTTCATCCCATAGTCCTGCCGACTCACGAATAGCGTGGCCTCCTCAAAGGGCCTGAGCAAGCGGCAGGTGTCACGCATGAGCTGCCAATGGCTGACATCGAAGTTACACAGGGGAGTACCTTTATCCGCTTGTAACATCAGGAAATCGGTGATGGCCTTTCGCTGTTCGTAAAGGCGGTCTAACATGTGTAGGGTTGAATTCCACCTTGTTGCAACGTCGCAGATCAGGCGATGCTGTGGAATTCCGTTCTGCCGCTGCAGCTCAAGGAGGGTGTGCTTTGCGGTGTAGGAATGGCTGAAATGCATGCAAAGTTTACGTGACATTTTAAGGATGTCTTGCAGTGGGATGGTGGATTTTAGGAACCGCTTGACAACCAGATTGAACACGTGAGCCATGCATGGCGCATGGCACAACCTTCCTTGACGCAGAGCAGACACCATGTTCTTTCCGTTGTCGGTCAACATGGTTCCGATTTTCAGTTTGCGCGGAGACAGCCATCTGTCGATTTCTCTGTTCATTACACTGAGAAGTTCCTCCCCTGTGTGACTACGTTCGCCAAGGCATACCAGGTGCAGCACAGCGTGACACCGTTGCGCCCTGCACATGTGATATGCCGGTCGGGTAATGGGACTTGGCACGGGGGTGGCGGCTGAGGACACGGCGGAAGAAGAGGTGGTAGAGGCGGACATCTTTTGTGGACCAAGGACGTGCAAACGTGGAGGCAAAAGCGGCGTGACCTGTCCAAGTTGCTGGTGCGGCTGTGACGGCACCACGTTCACCCAGTGGGCCGTAAATGACATGTACTGTCCCTGACCGTAGTTACAGCTCCACACGTCGGCGCTGTGCACTTTGGCAGAGACCGACATGCTCAAAGACTGGCCCACCATCTCTTCTACATGTGAATGCAGGGCTGGCACTGCCTTTTTGGCGAAGAAATGACGGCTTGGCACTCTCCACCGCGGCGCGGCACAAGCCATCATTTCTCGGAAAGGTGCTGAGTCCACCACTTGGAAAGGGAGGGACTGCAGCACCAGCAACTTGGACAGGAGGACGTTCAGCTTTTGCACCGTCGGGTGCGTGCTCGCAAACTGTTGTCTCTTGGAAACGGATTCCAAGAAAGACTGCTGACGGAATCCGTGAAGAGGAGTAGCAGGAGAAGGAGCATCTGAACGAGCGGAAGATGCCAACGAGCGACAACTCCCCTCAGCAGAGGTGTTGGAGCCTTGACTGGCTGATAGAGGGCGATTGACGTCGGGTGACGGAGCAAGTAACGGAGCGGGTGATGGAGCGGGGGCTGGGGCGGGCAGAACCGCCGTATCTTTATCACGGTTTTCCCAGGCCACCAAATGGCGACGCTGCATATGCTGCCGCAACGCTGTAGTCCCAACATGGGCCCCCTGGCCACGCTTGACTTTCTGGCCACATAGTCGACATACGGCTACGTTTACTTCCTCGGGCGGCTTGACAAAAAATTGCCACACCGCCGAGTAGGAAACTTTGCCCCCGATACTCCTCACTGGCTGACTGCTGCTTCCTCCGTGCACACCGGCACCACTACTGGCCGTGGTGGTAGGCTGCAGTGGAGCTGGTGCTGTACTCCGTGGCCGTTTGCCTCCACTGACACTGCTGCGACCCTGCTGCCTCCTGGGCAACCCACCGACTGTTTTGCTCGCTGCCAAGCTGCCACCCTCTTCTCCTGATGATGCGGAAGCAATAGCCTGATGACGACGAGGCTGCCAAGTGCGATCAGCCTCCTCATCATCAATTAGGGTCTCCGCCTCACTACTAGCCCCCTCGGCTGCGTGTGGGTCAGGAGACAGACCTGTCTCTAGACCGGCTACCGAGCCACTCTCCTCGCCACTACTTCTTCGCCTGGCTGCTGAAGAGGCGGATGTCTCCCCCCGTTCCTGACCGCCCTCTGTTAGCTCTTCCTCACTGTACAGTGGGGCTGAGCCCACAGCATGCGCGATACTTCGCTTGGTGAGGGAACACCAAAGGACAGGGGCAGGTAGAGGACACGTGATTTCAGTGGGCTTGGTCCCGGGCCATGCCAACTAACGGTTGTGTCTGACGTACCCACCGACCGTTGGCTGTAGGTGTCAGAGGTGACCTGGGAAGAGGAAGACGACCGAGCCAACCAATCGATGACGGCAGGGTTGTCGGTGGAGACACGACCGCTGGATGACACCGGGAGCACTGGCCTCTGGCTGCGAATAGTGCTGCCTCGACCCCTTCCTCTGCTGCCACGTCTGCTCGCTCCTAAAACATTGCCTCCTCTGCCACTCCTCTGCATGTTGTCTGACATACTCTTTAATTAAACGATTCTGTGTCCCTGAGTTGTCCCTCAGTAACAATTCTGTGTCTGTCCCTGAGTAAACAATTCTGTGTCCCTGAGTAACAATTCTGTGTCCCTAAGTAACAATTCTGTGTCCCTCAGTAACAATTCTGTGGCCCTAAGTAACAATTCTGTGTCCCTGAGTAACAATTCTGTGTCCCTAAGTAACAATTCTGTGGCCCTCAGTAACAATTCTGTGTCCCTCAGTAACAATTCTGTGTCCCTCAGTAACAATTCTGTGGCCCTCTAAGTAACAATTCTGTGCCCTCAGTAACAATTCTGTGTCCCTCAGTAACAATTCTGTGTCCCTAAGTAACAATTCTGTGGCCCTCAGTAACAATTCTGTGGCCCTCAGTAAATTCTGTGGCCCTCAGTAACAATTCTGTGTGCCCTCAGTAACAATTCTGTGTCCCTCAGTAACAATTCTGTTCTGTGTCCCTAAGTAAACAATTCTGTGGCCCTAAGTAACGTTTCTGTGGCCCTCAGTAACAATTCTGTGTCCCTCAGTAACAATTCTGTGTCTGTCCCTAAGTAACAATTAACAAGTAACAATTCTGTGGCCCTCAGTAACAATTCTGTGGCCCTCAGTAACAATTCTGTGTCCCTCAGTAACAATTCTGTGTCCCTGAGTAACAATTCTGTGTCCCTCAGTAACAATTCTGTGTCCCTAAGTAACGTTTCTGTGGCCCTAAGTAACAATTCTGTGGCCCTAAGTAACGTTTCTGTGGCCCTAAGTAACGATTCTGTGGCCCTAAGTAACGTTTCTGTGGCCCTAACTAACGTTTCTCTGTCCCTAACTCTCTCCCTGCATACAGCCAGGTCTGCCTCTGTTGAATGACATCCCCTTCTCCGTCGCCGCACATGTCGCCGCCATTTTAGGAAAAATTTCGATTCGCGCATCCGAAGTCTGCTTATTTTCGGATTCGA